TGCCTTCATAAGGCATTTTAAGTGTCAGCATAAAAAGTGCTTTAAGTAAACTGTTACCCAAAGCTGCCATATGAAATCATTACAGCTTCAGTATCTTCCATCCATCCTTCCCTCCATCCATCCATCCATTCACCCATCCATCCATCCATCCATTCACCCATGTTCTAACCAGTTATCCTGGTCAGGGTCACCTGCAGCCTAGCCAAGGCAGCACAAGGCAGAAATGCACTTTGGAAAGAGTGCCAGTTCATTGCCGTAAAGGGTTTGTGCATTCCTGTACTGAATTAAGAATCATTTTTATCCAGCCTAGCTGAGGTAGCAGTGAACAGTGCGAGGTGCCGTGTGATGAGGTAGATTGTAATTCAGCAGACGGAAAGAGAAATAGCAGAGAACTTAAGAAGCTTAGTGCTGGTTATTACTGTGTTTGGCCAACGCAGCGGCTCGTACAGCAGAAACAACTACTGTTTGCTAGCTTCGGTTAAGGCTCTGTTTCGCAGCGGCATTCGCGCATCACACCCTCAGAGTAAGTGTTCAGCTCACGCCGCGGAAGGTTCTGGAAAGCGTGGTGTGTAATTTCCCAGGAAACGTGGGAGGGTCAGCGTTAGAATGCGATCAGGTTACGCGCGTTTGGCTTCACGTTTTCAAACACACCACATTTATTTATATACGCCATTGTAGCCCAGGCTGTCGTCTCCTTCGGTAACTCCACATGGCAGCGGGCTCTTCTAGAGCGCCGGCATGAACTTCTGTTTCTCAGCAGAGAGACTTTTGACTGACTTTAATACCTTCATCCCGGAACTCCAATGTGCTGATGACTGAAAGCTCTGCGAAAACCCAAAAGCGTCTTTTGAGTTATTTATTTGCATCCCACGTACAACACTTAGGTGAGTGTTGTCAGTTGCGGTCCATTTGGGACTTTTGCATTGGTTGTCTTCTGGGGATCTGTTGGAATGACCTTTGGGATCAAATGTGCAGAGACAGACTGGATTCAGTGCAACTTGAAGGGTTCTTAGCAAAATAAAGCAAGAGCTCTTGACCCCAGTAACTCCATCCATCGTCCGCTCTACTCATGAACAGGAGATCATCCTGACTTAACTTTTCCATGGGCTGCTTCTTCTGAAGTAAGCAGGATGGGCTGCTCTCTGGTACGGAACTCTAGTTTTTATATATTATCCATGAGTATCCCAAGTTTAGAAACGTTCTTGGACTGGTGCATTTTGGTGTATGGATATGGTCAGTAACTCAGACATTTAGAGACTTGCTGGTGTCCTTCTCGATCATGGCTAAGCAAAATTTGCTTCGACAGGCCTTCAGCTATGGGTCACCTACTGTCCATGTTGAACATACATCTGGACCAGACCTACCAGCCATACCAGCTATAGGGGATTAACTCCAACAATGATTCTGCTGACAAGATTGCAGGAAAGCAGAATACCGTTTTATTAAACAGGTTCCACATCTAATAAGCAACTAGCGTGAGCTAGGTATTTATTTTGTTTTTTGGAAGAGTGAATTCAGGGTCAGTTGTGACCTTCAGCTCAGTTTGCAGAACAGCATTATTCAGTGGTTTTACTGGCTTGGCTTGACTCTCCACCGTGTGTCTGAAACCACAGAGGCCTAAGGAGACATCATCGCTGGCCTGGCCCTGGTTGTCAGAGGCTGCTCTTTGCTTTGAGGCTACAAACAGACATTCGGAAACTTTCAAAGGTGACATGTCATCAACAAAACTGTTTTCGCAGTCGGGTGAACTTTTGTATCGGTGAAATGGCATGGATACTGGTGACTCTCATTGAATAGCATGAGTCTGATCTCAGTGAAGAATAATTTCTAAACTGCAGGTTATTTGAATATGAGCCAGACATCAGTTTCATTTAAATCGCAGAAGGCTCACAACTGGCTTTGGGATATGGCGAACAGCGTTGCAGGCCAGTGACAGTATGGATGGATGGATTGATTGGTGGAATTCTCTATTTACCTTGAAGGAAACTGCAAAAAATATCCGGGAAAGTATTGCACGGAATTCTGTAGCAATGGTTCAGAAATGAAAAGTATTGCACAAATGAATGCTCTGTGGATGCAGTTCTGGGCCATTCAGATAGTTGGTCCTCGTTGTCATAGGGTGACTTGTAGAGTTTAATAGATGATGGTAGGAAGGCCCTTTCTTATCGCTCCTTGGAGCAGCATCTCTGTCTCTGTTGGCTGCTGGAAATGCTCTGTTTGTCCATAACATAAGATGATAATATCACCACAGTGGAAAAGCTTCAGAGTTGCTCCATCACACATTGGCCCAAGTTAAGGATTAGCATGTAGTTGCTTAGATATGTAGTTGCTTAGATAATCGTCTTATTCATTAACACGGCAGGATATTCAGCTCAATGGTACCGCACCAAGGCCTTTCCCGGTTCTGAGGAGTTGGTGATGTCTGGGGTCATCGATCACTGCCTGGTTAGGAAATGACCGTTTCTGCTTTCTGAACCGGCTGGCATGTAGAAAAGCAACCATTATCCTCAGAACAGTGTCGAACTCCTCAGGGTGAAAAAAGCGTAAGGTTTTGTTTCAGGTCTTTTACGGGCCTCTGACTTAAATGTGCTTCTTTTCTGAGGTCTTTGTGCTGTTTTATTCTGAAGAGCAAAGAAATATTCGGCTTGTTTAATATGTACAGTCAGTCCTGCTGCAACGCGACTAATGTGTTTCTGAAAAACCTCAGGTTCACTAAAATCACGTACTAAAATAAATATATCCAATTGGAAAAAGGTTTTGGCGTATGTGACTCCAAGCTTAGATACTCACGGCAAACAAAATGAATTAAATAATAAAAACAGTGATACCTGTGGCAAATAATGTAATTGTATGCTTTTTAAATAAAAAATAATAATACATTAATGAGTTATACTATGAACATCTCCTATTGGTCTTATGAGAATGGCCTATTAGTATATTACTGAGAGCTGGGACTAGCAGAAGCCAAAAGGACACTTCCTCAACCATTTGTTGTATTTTCTGACCCCACGAAATGGGGCTCTTGGTTTGCTTTGGGACCTGCCTTGAGCCCCATCTAGTGGGGTCAGAAAATATAGCAACTGGTTCATGACGCGTCATTTTGGCCATCATGAGATGGGAGTAGTGAGCCACAGCCACTGTGCTGCCGGGCACAAATACAACAGATTACGGTATGTGGAGGGGGCACTGAGGGCAACATGGCTACGGTCTATGGAAACACATGTAAGTCAATAAAAAAACGTTGCTGTGTTTTTCTGTGACAATTTATCAAATATTTTTAGATTTCTACAACCTAGGACCTTTGACCTGTGCAATGGGTGGTTGTACAAAAAGTTTGATTCTTTTAGATGTAAAAATCGGTTTGACCAATTCACAGAAAATAACTGGTTCTTTACTTACCCTGCTTACCTATGATGGCAGTGGAAATGGTGCCAGAGGGACAGATAACTGTTTACGTTGTGACCGGTTGGCGTTATGCTCGGTCTCGTTGCCGTGATGAATGCATCATGGCACACGCCAAACTCACACACATGCGGCATGGAAACTCGCTCCTCGCCCTCTTCATGCATCACTGTTAGGAAAGCTTGTTTTGACTGAAACTGCTCTTTCTAACTCTACCGTTGCTGGTCTTAGTCACAGAACCACACTTTTTGAGTGGAATCTCATATTTATTGACTGTAAGGATCACTATTCTGCTGCTAAAAGTTTTCCTTTTCAAAGGAAACATAATAAATATATGTGTTATTTTTTCCATCGAGAGGAAATTCAGAAAGAAACGTCCTTCGATGACTAGAGAGGAGATACAGGTTTAAAATATGAAAGGTCAAACCCATGGATTGACCTAAATATGACCTCTGTTTGGTACCATGCGGTCAAAGTAACATGACCCATGAGACTACGTGCGAGCGATGCCAAGTACAAACACAGACAATGTGAAAGGAATCGGCTCAGTTCATAGGCGGAGCAGGAAAGGCAGGACTAACCGCAGCCCCCTATCCTGCTCCTATGATACAGCGTGAAACACGTGGTATCTGTCTTTGATCAGTACGTGCTATAAAATGCAAATGACCTTGCAGCCTGTTTGACATCCAGAGGCCTTGTTCTCCGTCACGTTCAGCCCTCTGTGATTTTTGGTTTCTTCTCCATGTCGTGGTATGAGCTCGTTGGCTTCTTCCAGAGCTCCATGCTACGGGGAGGAGCTTCACAGGGATGTGGCACCACGTTGTCTTGTCCTACGCCATGTAGCTGACTGGCGAGCCTGAGAAACACAGGTACCCTCTGCATTTTGACTTCACGGCCGTTTTTTCCACTGTTGGGGCCCTGGAGCTGGCAGGCATGCTGTAAGACGCCCCGCGCCCCGTCAGGGAGCCTCTCTCCTGTGCTGCCGCTCAGTTGCCACTTCCTGTTGGGAGGACTTTGGTGACAGCGGTTAGCGGGTTCGTGCTGCGATTAGGCCAGGATGTCAGGATGTCTGCGTGTGACAGAATCGGGCATGTGGAAAGAGCGTCGCGTGGTGCCTCACGGTAGCGTGGTGAAATACGTGTGTTTCGTGGCTTTTTTATCATAATCAATCAATCAAGGTCCCCAGCTTCTCTGCCGTGTTTTAGCATTTCTACACCTGACGGGTCAAAGACCTAAAACCACTTTTATATATTATTGTGAATTATTATGCCTGCATGTCAGGTCATTGAAAATTTAAACACTTTCCTTATTCCATTGCCAATGTTATTCAAAGAGTAATATCTTTGGGACTATTAACATTTTTGCAGTAAGCTTTGACTTAATATGCTAACATTTAATAACGCTTATACTTTTAATCATTTTGCATAGTCTGTCTTTGCAAAGAGTCGTCAGGACAAGTTTGCTCCCTAGATCAGCGTTATGTGACAAAATGAGCATGGCCGTCACCTCCCGAAACGAGGGGTTAATCGTGCCCCCCGACCTCCTGTTCTCATCACGTACAGAGTGTGTCAAAGTGCTGCTTTGTTCTGCAATTCCAGGCGCCGTGGCAGCGGTCTTCCTGACATCCCCGCTCCTCCTCGCAGGAGTATAGCGTGAGGCACTTGGGCATCAGCAGGCAGAAGCACATCCACACTGGGGCGTCTGGGGAACGAGTTTCGTGCCGAAGGTGAGCACCTCCAATCCCTAATATCCCACTTCAAGCTCATCCACTCAGTCCTGGCACAAATTATTCCAGATATATAACTGCTTCGATTGTTTGTCACAGAGAAAGAAAATTTCCATAGTATTTAAATTCAATTTAACTATGGAAGGTGTATAAATATATAGCAGGAATATCTTTTTGATTGCTAATCAAGTCCAAGACCAAAGATGACATTTCAATTTTAATAGTATTTGCTATTGCACCATGTGTTCTTCAAGCAACATTAGGTAACTTGTGATTTTATTTTCTTTTAACCTAATAAACAAAACATAAAAAAGATTCATTGCTCCGCTTGAGACTTCGCTCTCTATTAGAAACCAGAACACTTGAAATGTCATTGTGTTTTTTTTTAATCATTTTTAAGCCTGAAACAAATCAGCGCCTTATGATCATATGTAAGCTTTTTTTATTTCATTTAACGGGGAACCATACTGCGCACTTTCGTGGCTGAGTGGCTTCCCATATCTCCTTTTAGAAGATCATTTATGAAGCTGGATTCCTGTTATTGGGCTTCAGAAGTAAATGTCATGGTCTCGGTGCAATGACTAGCTGTTAAGAACCAGACGCAAAGATGCAAAGGCCTCCATTCTTTTAAACCACTGACTGTCTGTTTTCCACCATGCAGACCTTTACACTGGGGCTCAGTACGTAAGCTGTATACCTTGGCGATGGTTTTGCTTGCTCCGTACGGGTGTGGCAAGAAAGGGAGTGTGCACATAGCTGGCGTTTATTCAGCTGTGAGGCCCTAAGGTGCATCCCGATTGCTGTTTGGCTTCGAACGAGCCAGCAGTGAGGTATCTTGCCGTGTTTGGTCTCTTTGAGTCAGGATTTCATTGCGGTTGCGGTCACTATGGCCAAAACAACTGGAGGTTTAGTTCTGCCGCTCGGATGCTGTCATTGTCAGTCTGCGCTCCTCATTATTGGTTATTTAAAGATGGTTCATGTCCTGTTATTGGTTGTTGTAGAACAAATACTTTCCAAAAAGGCATAATCTTTTATGCTTATAACTTAGTAATGTGGAGTTCACCATGTGCTAGTTGCTATTGGTCAACCAGTACCAGTCTCATCTCTGGGATTTAGGTCTAGGTAGGCAGCCACAAAAAAGAATTAGCAACAGTGGTAACTTCCGTAGAACTTGGCTCACATAACATTTTAATCCGCCCCTAATGGCTCTCCATGGCCGAAGCTGTCAGAGACGAACAGAGGCACGATCACGCCCAGTGGAGAGGAAGGAGTGAGTCACGCAGGGGCCAAGCGATGTTTCATTATCTCGCAGGCAGGGTGTCACTCCGCAGGCTGAGAAACACAGCCTGGCCCCAAGGGCCCCTGGCGGCCCACCTGTGCGGGGACACATTTCCGGCCCCTTCCTGTCACCCAGTAAATGTTTGGCCCCTCTTCTCGGGGTGCCGGGTTTCAGGATCATGTGACCTCAGCCTCGCAAAAGGCCCATCCATATAAACGGGCCCCGAGGTTTATATGCCAGCCGAGGAGAGGGTGGTTGGGGGGGGCAGCCATCACGGGTGCCAGGCGTAATTAATAATGAACTCATTAGAGCAGCTTGATAATATAATACCTATGCGACTCTCAGAGGCCATTAAGTATTTTAATTGCATGAGCAGTTCAAAAAATGTTTTACAGTGATTTGCTCTAGCTAAAGCTTCTTAATTCTAGATTAATTAATAAAGGTATTGGAAACAATTTTATGTAATTTTTTTATTTCCAGGGATAGCAATATTTGATATTGACTTGGTTTTTGAATTATATACAACATTGATAATTATTTTATCGTTATGTATCTAATTTTATTTTGGCTACAGTGATTCGCCCCAACAATGAACTAAGCAGACCCTCGGCACTAACCAGGATGAGCGCGTGGACAATGGATGGAATGAAACACCATTGCTTTGGAGGAACCAACATTGCCAACATATTAATTTTGAAATTGCATAAAAGTTGCATGACGGATTCTCTGAAATCCAGAGTGAGAGCAAAAAGTGGTAGCTTATGGCTGAAATGAAAAGCAAAATTGCACCAATATTTGCGGAATTTGGGTTTCAAAACAGGACAAATTTAAATAGTCTGCCATCATCGTTCTGGCAGGTGACACAGGCAGGTGGCATCAGGGGATGAGCAGGACCTGTACGCATATAGAAGTCCTCTAAAAGTACGCTACTGGCAATAGCTAAAACTCACTCATGTTCAATATGATTTGTGGCACTTTTTAATTCGCTTTGATGTGATCAGAGACTGGCTACATCATAGTCACAGGGCCTGTTATTCTTAGCTTTTTTATGTTATTCTTTGGGCTGTTGCCAAGAGCTCCTGGAGTATTCCGACACATGACGAGCTGCTGACACAGTCATACCATCACATTTCTGTAGTGTCACACCCCTGCTGAAACTCTGCAGTGGTACATTCCCTTATTTTCTCCAGGGTGACATCACCACTGCAAGTAACTCATCACACACAAAATATTTATGTAGCTCTTGTCACTGGGCACCTGCCAAATCATCACCAATTAGCACATGGTCGCTAGTAACTAAAGTCTCCTCCTTCAGTCAAGTTGACCCATGATATCAGACTGTGGAAAAGTGAGGAGAATTCGGTGCCCTAGAAACTGGACCATAATGTTGCTCGCCTCGTGTTGGGTTGGGGTTAGGGTTGGGGTTGGGGTTAGGGTTGGGGCAGGTGGCGTGATCCGGAAACCTGTTTGGCCCTGTTCTCCTGCTGCTTACGGAAAATGTCAGAGAGCAAATACCCCAGAGCAGTGAAACAGTAACAGGTGGGGGGAGGGGAGGTTGTTTGTCCATTTTTCAGCTGAGCATGTCATCGTGGCCTGTGTGTGTTGGTGGTGGTGCTGACCCCTCACTCCGCAGCCTCTGTCCCTTTACTTCCGGAGACAAACGACTGGATTCGTTCAGATTTCTAGTGGCTGAGAGGAAGCTGCGGTCTTGGCATGGAATTAAACGGAGCTGCCCCAGATTCCTGGGCGGAATGTAGCGGCCGTGCTCCGTGTCTGACGGAGGTTTACGCTCCTCGATACCTGGGCTCGGGGCGTGCCATACCGAGTGGTGAGCCACCCATGACAGACGGACTTTGGAGAACAGAGAGAGTCCATTTGTTGTTAAGTTTATCTTTGTTAATATATCCCCCCTAAACACATGCATCATGTGTGATGATCAACTGGGAGGTGATTAAGAAAAAGAGCCGTCTTATGCAGAAATGAGGAGTCTTTCTTTTTCTCCAGTTCCTATCTGGGGGCAACTTTGTTTGTAACATATTAAAATCTCACTTATAGCGGTAGCAGGGGCATCAGGCGTCTAAGTGGCGTTTCAGTCCATCGGCCTGCAAGCAGACGCCTCACGCCCATCGTGGGGGCAGTTTGGCCGGGGAGGGATCTCAGGGGTAAACAGTGCGGGTGCCTCGCGTGGTACGAGCGTGAGTCATTCTCACATACTGCTCCCATTGTTACTTCTGTGGTCACCGGGGGGTGGGGGGGGGGGGCAAGGAGATACAGAGTGTGCCCGGGTGCGTCGTCACGGGGAGGGAGGGGCCGCCCCCTCACTTCCTCCCATGCAGGTCGTGAGGCCCCGCCCCCCCAATAGAGGAATACGCCACCGCTCACACAGGGGAAGCTGTAGCTGTCGACTTTAACAGCTGATATATATATATACAGTTTAAAGTATCAGATTCAGATGGAAATTATTTATTTAGTAGATCCTTTTATCCAAAGTGACACACATTTTTGAGAAAGCAGAGTCAGACAGTCCTGGGAGTAACTGGGGGTTAGGGGCCATGCTCTGGGACCCAATAGTGACATCACTCTGTCAGCCCCAGGATTTGAACCTTTTACCTACTGGTTTCTGGCACAGCGCCCTGACACCGCCTTTCGCCCCTGATGGACTCACGTGTCAGAGTGATGTCACCATTTCTTCGAGCCCAAAGCTCTGCTTAGCAGGAAGTGGCTCCTGATTTAACATCATTTTTTCCTCTCTGTCCTCAGAGATGCCGATCGGCCTCCCAGTGACGCTAACAGCTGTTTCCAGATGAGCACCTAAAGCCTGGCGGCTACATCGGTTTCCACTGCGCCCTGGGCGCCCCATCCATATGATCACATGACCCTGGATATGGACGCGGTCCTGTCACACTTTGTTCGGTCCACTGGGGCAGAACCTGGTCTGGCAAGAGACCTGCTGGAAGGTAAGGGCTGGGCACTGCTCCTTCTCGCTCCTGTAGGGGGCATGGGTGTGCCTGTATGCGTGTGTCTCTCATGTGTCTGTATATTCAGAGCAGTCAAATATCTACAGAGAATAATTATCCTCACCATGTTCTCACAAGGATAAAAGCAAAGCACAGCTTCTGTCAGGCAAACAGATACCAACACCTCTAAGTCTGGCCTGAAAATATTCCCAGAGCCATTTCTCTTGCTGTATGCTTTCGGTTATGTGATTTAAACAGGGACATTTTTCATCCAAAGGATGTTTAAAAATATTTCTTGTCACATTCAGCTTTGATGGAAAGCAGCTTTTCTTGCTGGGAGACACTGTGTGACACCGTAATGTGTGTGTGTGTGTGAGAGAGTTATGTATATATTACATTGTGGGGGCCAAATGTCCCCACAATGTGATAAAAACCTGTTATTTTGATGTTGTGGGGGACATTTTTTCCAGTCCCCACAAGGGAAATTCAATTTTATAAAAATCTGTAAAGACTGCACTCAGAAAACTAAAAATGTCAAAAGTCTTGTATGTTGTTTGTTTACTTATGGTTAAGGTTAGGGTTAGGGTTAGGTAGAGGTTGAGGTAGTCGTAGTTGGGATTAGGGTTTTGCCCATAGAAATGAATGACGGTTCCCATAAAGATATGACTACAAACATGTGTGTGTGTGTGTGTGTGTGTGTGTGTTCATGGTCCAGCTGCTGATTCAGTGTCCGCCATGACAGTTTTACGAGTGCTGGCTGCGGCACAGTGACAGTGAGTGAGGAAACCCGAAAACGCCCGAAAAATGCTGTCAGGAGTCTTACATAGCAGTCCTGTTTTGGACTGAACATCATGCATTCCAAATCCATCAGAAATATATAAAGACACCAGCCTTCACTGTTACATTATAAACAAAAGCAACCAGGAACAGTGTGATTTGAGATGCTTACCAGGCTGGGTCTCAGCTTATTGTTATAATCAAGCACACATGGGATCAAGTGGGAAAGTAGCTGAAATTACATTTTTACTGTAAACGATTCTGCTACATCACACCATTCTGCAGGATGATAATCGTCCTTTGCAAGAGGACCTTTGGAAAGACAGTCGTGTGTGACCCTGTTGTTCTATATTATGCCACATAAACGACGCCTACATGTAATCAGGGTTGCCAACTTTGGTCAGCTGGTTGGATTGAGATTTTTAATTCGCCACATGTCTGCACCCTCATCTACATGTATGTAACAGTTTTATTACCTTGTAAAAAGTCTGCAGGGTTTGCAAAGTACTCCACTTTTGATGTATCTAATTTTAGTATTTGCCGTAAGATGTCTTGCGTGAGAGTGAGTCTGAATGCGTGAGCGTCACGCCAGACGCATGGGAGTCGGCAACCCTGATGTAATACATGTGGACGTAATAGTTATTATGTGGTCGATGTAATGGAGGGTGAGTAGTTTCCGGTTCTGCTGAGGTATGTTTGCTCTTCTCTGCGAGTTATTGTGCGATAGTATGAAAAGAGGCAGGGTGCTGATAATGAAGCAGCGCTTTGCCAGAATCGCAGGCGCGTGTCTTGTTCGGGAGCCCGGCTGCGACCCGCTGCTTTATTTCAATATTGCCAATGCCGCATGGCTCTGTGACTCTCATACTGCATCGTGAGACAATTCTGGAAAGCCAGACGTTAAGCGCGTGTAAGACATTCCTGCGAGCCGTGAGGCGGTGAGCTCGTACGCATGCATCAGCCTGGCACACTAGCTTGGTAAGCCTCTCTGAAATGTCTCACTGGTTTTAAGGGCCGGTGGCTATAGCCAGTGGTTCCTGTTTGTTTTTGCCTTCTGCTCGGGGTGACGGTTCTGCATGCGCCTGTGGTCGTCCACGGGGTTTAGCATGTGACACTAACCATAGCTCCATATTATTATGTTCATACTGTGTAGTGTGAAATTACTGAAGTAATTTATTTGGAAATTGATTTATAACGTTATTCTATACCTCTTTAATTTATAGCCTGCATTATTGGATGATTGAGTGAATGTGTACTTTGTTATGTGTTTGTGGTTGTGAAACTCCGGGTGAACCGTAGCTGTACATGTAGGCCTGTTATTCAGCGCACAGGCTGATACTGGGGCATCCTTGTGGAATGCCAGCCCTTCCCATGCTCCCTCTCTTTCCACGGATAAGGTCACTTGCGGTTATCTTAGTGAGAATGTAAGGGGAAGGCTGCCCTCTAGGGGACTGGAGAGGGATTGATGTCGCTCTGTGATCCTGTAAGGAGCTGAATCTGTTTATCTCCGATACTTTTCATATCCGCTTTTGGATAGCTGGCCGCCTGAGGATGGTTGTGGTGGACACCTCAGAGGACTAAGTGCAGCCGCATGACCTCAGGTTAAATATCTCGTGTCTGCTTTTAAGAAAATCTAATCACTGGTCTAGTCCATAAAACCTCTAATAGATGACATTACACACATTGCACCTTGGTGGCATGCAGTCCTGAAATGATCTTGAAATAATCTTTTCACCAACAACACAGATCCTAGGGAGCGGATGTGACTCCCGGTGAAGAGACTCCATTAACAAACTCACCGTCAAAGCCAGACTCAGAAAGAGGGTGATGTAACCTCTAGATGCTGCAATGGCCTTGTTATTCGGAAGGGATGTGCTGTTGATTAGTGACTCACACAGTTTAAATTAGAGAAAAGCATGACATTAGGAAAACCCAAAATACAATGGAAAAAAAGAAGCATTCAGCACTGAGAAGCTGGACCACCCACTCCATGGACCACCCACTCCATGACTCTGTGGGAAATGCAGAAACCGTCGTGTCAGAAGCCATTGTATTCATCTGTTTTCAGATGTAACTGACTAAATACATAAATCAATGTGAATGGGATTCTCCTATTTTCTAGGCCATTACCGAGCCTCAGAATGTCTTGAACTTAGTAAATTCAACTCTAATAAACAAGAAAAATGTCAGACCGTCGGGAGGGGTCAGCTTCAGCAGGCAGGATGACTGAAGCTGCGTGGAACATGCTGACAGAGGGACAGGGGGCATGAAGCAGAGGCTGCTGAAACAAGCCACCAAAGCAACACCTTCCCCCCACTCCCCCACCCCCCACTCGCCTCCCCCGGCTGTTATCGCCTTTTTCCAGCGCGGCTGCGGAAGAGTGACAGACGCTGTGGAGGAAATCCCCCATCACAGGGCCCCCGGTGCAGCTCGTGCCCCCCACTCTGGTCCCGACTCGCCGCGTCTCATTTAATGGCCTGATGAGTTTCCGAAGCGTCACAGTGTCCTTTTGTGGGTTTCTGTACAATCATGTAAAATGTTTCCCCTCGTCTTGAGCAAAGGAGGGTGCAGGATGGACGTGCTGTTTTAGTGCAGTTTCATGGCTGGTGATTTCCTCAGTGAGCCCCGTCTGCGTTCGAGCGACGCGGTCTGTGCTACGTCGGTGCACCGCAGCCGAAAGTGTCTCAAGGTCACGTTGGGTGTATTGAGGTGAATTACCTGTACGGTCCATGCAAAGGCAAAATGAGGCAATTCCACTGTGAGCAGAAATGATTGGCGCAGCTGTTTAGTCAGAAATAAACAGTGAAAGGTGTTTTTATTCTAAGCCGAGATCCCATTGAAGCAAAGGGGCCGCAGCCTGGAACTGCTGTTTGCGAGAAGCTCTCCGGCCGTGATGGTGAGCAGGAGGACGTTCACGGGGATTTTATTCAGGGAGGGGCTGAAATGGGGTTTGTAGAGACAGGAGGGCAAATGAAAAAAAATGAACTGAGTTAAAGAAACCGGTCACATAATTCAACCCGCTGCAGTCCCACCCAGACACTGGCACCGCAGTAGAAAATGAGCCCAGTCACCACCTCCCCCCACCCCCCCCCCAGTGAAATCTATCATATCGCATGCTTCACTGATTCTCTCATACCATAATGGGTGCACTGACCAGTAGGTGGCAGCACTGACCAGAGGGGGGCAGCACTAACCAAAAGGTGGCAGCACTGACCAGAGGGGGGCAGAACTGACCCCACCGTGACCCCGGTCTGTGACCCAGTACCATGCAATGCTGGGGAAGCTACACTGAACGCATAGCTTTGAAAGCTACCGGCCACTTCACACTGGAAGAAGCTAAGCTACAGCAAAACTACCCTAATGAGAAATCTGGTTAAGCTACTTAGAAAAAGTAGTTCAAACTATTTTGTAAAAAACATCATCAAATTGGCGTGTTATACAAAATTATAACAAAATACTATAATACAAAAAAGTCACATGCCAGCAAACAAAAAATGCCACTCAAACAGAGTTTACTGCAAAAAGCGCCTTAACTAAAACAGGCAATATTGCACCTCCATACATAAACAGACACACATCACACAATTTTAAACAGGTGGAAAGGAAGGCAATTGTGCACCTGCCGGTATTAGAGGAACAGATCTCCAGCTCTCAGTCACACGCACGCACACACACACACACACACACAGCATTCACCAGCATTCACAAACACACAAGCTTGAACACTGTTCTAAATAAATGACACATGAGCATCTCAAACTTCTTATCCGAAAGACGGTTCCTATTGGCACTGAAAATGTCCTTTCGTTACCAACCTGAGAGTCGCTATGGAAAAGTAAAAATAAAAAAAAACGTTTGTAGTTTCAGTAAACTGCACAAAAATGGCAAGAAAGTAATTTAACTACTTGAATCACTATGCAAATACACTTGCAATTGAATTACCAGTAAGCTACTGCAAAATGTAGTTAAGCTACTATTTTAACTACATGTAGTTCACTACTCCTCCGCCTGCACGTATCCCGGGTTACGCCAGGCTGTGGTAATGAGCAGTCCATCTCTGATTTCCCTCTTAACCTACGAAATGCCGCTGTGTTGTTGAATAAACATCATTAAATAATCGCCACACAGATATACATGCTTGAACTAATGTCATGGCAAGGGATTGCTTTATTTTATAGTATACTTCTGCGTGGTTCAGACTGCCTTCCCCGCCGGATAATCACCCTAAGTGATGAGGCAGGCGGGCAGTCAGGTACCCTGATGTCTCTCTGTAGAGTGAAGATGCCTCGTCTCCCGCTGCAGGATCCCCTGTGTGCTGCTCAGGCTCCCAGCTGCTTGATCTTGGCTGGGTTACTATGCGGATTTGCCTTGTTTGGCTCTTACAGCTGCAGCCTGCAAAACGTCTCGCAGTGCTGCCGTGAGGGGCTGTGTGTGTGTGTGTGTGTCTGTGTGTGTCTGTGTCTGTGTGTGTGTGTCTGTGTCTGTGCCTGTGTCTGTGGATTAGGTTTATATTACATTGTGGGGACCAAATGTCCCCAAAATGTAATAAAAACCTGTTTTTGACCTTAGTCAAAAAAGTAATAATGCCAAAAGTCTTGTATCTTGTTTGGTTACTTATGGTTAAGGTTAGGGCTGGGTAGGGCTTAAGGATGTCATGTTGGGATTAGAGTTTTCCCCATAGAAATGAATTGAGAGCCCCCACAAAGATATGATTACAAACCTATGTGTGTTTATGTGTGTGTGTGTGTGTGTGTGTGTGTACACGTTACACCCAAACATTGAGGTGGATTCCCACAAAACGAAAGTACTTTACACCTTCACTGAATATTCCAAAGCAATCTTTGTTTTGGGCTTTTATCTGTTTCTGCGTGTTCCAGTGGATGTTAGTTGGGAAACCCCCCCCCCCCCACCACCTCTGTGGGCCCAGCCCCCACCCCAAAATGGGGACTGAATGCATAGAGTGTCATTTTAGTAAAGTGCTGCAGTGAAAATTGGTGGCTTGGTGGTCAGATGCCATCGTTAGGTGGGGGGGGGGAAGGGGGTGCCCCACCCGATGCATCCAACAGCCTGCTCGTGTCCCGCGAGCAGAAGGGTGTGCAGACAGCAGCCGGAACAATGCAGAACAATCTGGAGCCAACCGTCTCTTCTGGTGAGCCGACCTTCCCACGAGCTGCATCACTGAGGATGCGGGTTAGTTTTGGATGAGAACCCCGTCGTTGGGATTAACTCCATACCTGTGCCCCTCCCTTCCTGGACAGACAATTAGTTGTGCTGTGCTCATTCTGTCTCTCCGTTTGCTCCCCGAGTGTCTCTTGCCTGAGGGGATACAGGATAATGATGTTTTTTTGTCACTATCTGTTCACTGATTGCTCATCGTATGTGTGCGTGAGGGGCTGAGAAATAATGAACGGAAATATCGCTTTTTTTCTGTCTGCCCAGAGGCTGCGGTTCAGTTCATAGCTGGATTTTGTGCCATATGGCATCAGGTCACAGGGTCACAGGGTGGTGACCCAGAATCGGGCCTGAGCTTCTCAGGCTCTCATCCGTCCGCACCCTGCCCCCCCCCCCCCCCCTCCCCCAGCACTGGAAGCTGGAGGAGGAGTAACCTCACCCTCTACAGTTCCCTTTATGAAAACGAAAGGAACCGTTTCTCGGTTTTGAGCGGGCGGGTGGCCAGTGTGTCCTGGCAAAGTGCGTGCAAACAGTCACACGTAATCACAGTCACACGTAATCACAGTCACTCGTAATCACAGTCACACGTAATCACAGTCACTCGTAATCACAGTCACACGTGATCACAGTCACACGTGATCACAGTCACTCGTGATCACAGTCACACGTGATCACAGTCACTCGTGATCACAGTCACTCGTGATCACAGCCACTCGTAATCACAGTCACACGTAATCACAGTCACTTGTAATCACAGTCACTCTTAATCACAGTCACTCTTAATCACAGTCATACATGATAATAGTAATGGAGTCATCTGTGACCCCTGTGAATGTTTAATCTTTGTGCAATCACCACAACCCTGTGCAGCTTAGGGGTCACAGTGGGTGGGTGGATGGATGGATGGATGGATGGATGTTTAATATGCCTGTTGATGTGGCTGTATAAATGACATCCTCTTCCCTGTCGCCCAAACCCTCGGTGAGAGCTGCTATTGTTAGACGTGTCATTATTCTTTCTTTGCCCTTGTCTCCTACGCAGCTTAGCACAGGGTTTCCCGTCTGCCGCCATTAATGCTGGGGCCCCTTTGTAACGTGCACTAGACCTAATTCCAGCAAAGCCGTCCTGACAGCCACAGATAACACATACGCAGAGGCAGGAAGAGCGAGCACACAGCCTCTCCCCGTCTGCCTGGCGCGTCTGCCAGTGCTGGGCCGGTGGTAAGTGGCGGTTTGAATCCTGTCACTGTCAGACTGAGCCGCAGCCCCTCCCTGATCCATATAGCCCCGTTATCCTCATTGCATTGTCTCCGTAATCATATTTCCTATCAGTCACTGAGGGGAGGTCTTTCTCCCACAGCTTATGCTCACGTCTGCTCATTTACTTTCACAACGCTACACACTCTAAGGTGCTCATAACATCAGCAAATTAGCTTCACACATACCCCGAACACATATCTCCGTTCGCCGTGGTGATAAAGGTAGTAAAAATTTGTCTTCTGCAGACAGCTGTTGACATCCATCCCAGCTCACAACCTGTTTAAATAGAGTGTTCTTTACAGGATGAGTTGGGGTAGTTTTTACAGGATGCAGGCCTCCCTGTTGTTTGGCAGTCTTTACAGGATGCAGGCCTCCCTGTTGTTAGGCAGTCTTTACAGGATGCAGGCCTCCCTGTTGTTTGGCAGTCTTTACAGGATGCAGGCCTCCCTGTTGTTGGGCAGTCTTTACAGGATGCAGGCTTCCCTGTTGTTGGGCAGTCTTTACGGGATACAGGTCTCCCTGTTGTTGGACCGTCTTTACAGGATGCAGGCCTCCCTGTTGAAGGGAAGTCTTTATAGGATTCAGGCCTCCCTGTTGTTGGGCAGTCTTGACAGGATGCAGGCCTCCCTGTTCTTGGGCAGTCTTGACAGGATGCAGGCTTCCCTGTTGTTGGACAGTCTTTACAGGATGCAGGCCTCCCTGTTGAAGGGAAGTCTTTACAGGATGCAGGCCTCCCTGTTGAAGGGAAGTCTTTATAGGATTCAGGCCTCCCTGTTGTTGGGCAGTCTTGACAGGATGCATGCTTCCCTGTTGTTGGGCAGTCTTTACAGGATGCAGGCCTCCCTATTATTGGGCAGTCTTTACAGGTTTTAGACCTCCTCCCTGTTGCCACATTGCCTTCTAGTATTTGTCTAGGTTGATAAATTCTGCTTCACTCTAATTGTCAGTGAATGGTGAATGGTAAGCTGTTCTAATCTGTGTAAACTTCGCCACTACACAATGACGAAGATCAAGGATACAGCTAGTTTCAGCTCTATATTACCTCAGAATGCGGCCCTTGTTGCTCTCCACAGCAAATTAAATTATTTCTGTGTATGAATATAACTCGACTGGAATCCCAAGGCGGATGCACCCCAGCCTTGGGTCCTGTGCTGCTTTGGACAGGGGCCCCACAGGGACCCTTAGCAGGATGAGCGGTTAGAAGATGGATGGATCGATGGATGAATAGAGCTGTCAGTCTCGCTGTTTGTGTATACAGGGAAAAACTGGGACCTGAGCGCTGCCCTCGGTGACTATGAGCAGCTGCGGCAGGTCCACACGGCCAACCTCCCCCACGTGTTTAACGAGGGCCGTTACCAGAAGGCGGGAGAGCGGGACACGCCTCAGCACCAGAGCAAGCCGGAGCGGCCGGGCGTGCCCAAGCATGAGGATGGGATGCAAGGTGAGGCCGCCTGTTGGCCATAAACAGTCACTACACTGGGGGGGACAGCAAACTTGCCCCTTTATGGACCACAGCTAATCACAGGCCACGGCTCAGGCTGACTCATGTCTCACGCCAATAGATATCGCCAATACTTAGTCTGCTGCAATCTGATTTGCTGATTGGTTGTCAACCACAAGCTCACTAACAAACGCCTCATCATCACCTTTGTTCCTCGATGTTGACACGCTGCAGAGAAACGCCTCACGCGGGGCATCTCCCACGCCAGCTCGGCCATCGTGTCCTTGGCACGCTCACACGTGGCCGGCGAGTGCGGCGGCAGTGAGCAGCTGCCCCTGGAGTTGCCCATTTACACATTCCAGCTGCCCGACCTCAGCGTCTACAGCGAGGACTTCCGGAGCTTCATCGAGTGGGACCTCATCGAGCGTTCCACCATGGTGGCCCTGGAGCAAGCTGGTGAGGGTGCTGCCCGCACTCTGGGTCTTTGTTCTGGTCAAAAGTCTTGCATTAAAATCATCACAGCAGGAGTCCCACTGTTCGTTTTTCCCGATTTTTAATAGCTGGTGTGATGAGTGTTTTGGGTTGATGTTTTTTTTACAAGGAGGCCAAATTGGTCTATTTGGCATAGTTTGCCATCAAAATCCAGAAAAATTAGCTTACATATGGTAAAGAACCTTGGGAAAAGCATCCATAGCAGATGGATGTGACAAAAGACAAAAGCTGGACATCCACGAAATCCCTCTGGTTTTGTTACATTCTCCGTGTCCAGCAGATGCACCAATATCTGTTACTGCTGGGTATTTTTCATGTCAATTCTGGATTTTAAGTCAGGCTTCCTCACTCGCTTGAGGTGAGCTGTGAAGACCTTCTCACCAGCATCCCCCTGTGCTCCCCAGGTCGCCTGAACTGGTGGTCCACCATGGGCACCAACTGCAAACGTCTGCTCCCGCTCACCACCACAGGCGACGGAAACTGTCTCCTGCACGCCGCCTCCTTGGGTGAGTGGGGGGGGGTCTCTAGCTGTCCATCGCTCTGGTTCCGCCTTTTCGAAAATGACCCACTTCCTGAAGAATCCTCATCTGGAGAAGCCTGAAGAGAATCCCTTTGCTCTGACGAGTGCTGCTAGAAACCAGAGGCCGGTTCAGCCGTGGATGATTCCACAGGAAATTTCAGACAGATCTCTGCCTACATCTAATAGTCTGACCATTACGGCCCAGAGATTATAGTGCCGTCCTACAATCGGGGAGCCCCATGATTCAATTTTAGAAAAGTGAAAGGGTCTTATTGTTAGAAATGTTACAGAAGTATATCTGAGGACCTACACAGATGGGAGGTCATTCTGGATGTGAATTAAATAAATCATTTGAGATGCATTTAAAATATGAAATTACTATCCTGTAAAACGATCCAAAGGAAGTCGAATGAATATCCACGTCCAGGCAGCGATTATTGACAGTCAGTCATGTCTGATCTAGATAGTACAATGTAGCCAGGGATTGAACCAAGGGGTCCCAAGTAAGAGTACTGACCTGACATCAGGAGGAGACTCCATGGCCTGTTTCTGCTCACTCTGTGAGTCTGTCGTTCCCCACTTTCACGCTCTGGGATTCTCTAACGGCACAGATTTTTCTCTTTGTCCGTACCTGTGCTATTCAGGAATGTGGGGCTTCCACGACAGAGACCTAGTGCTCAGAAAGTCCCTGTACGCCATGATGAAGAGCGGCGCCGAGAGGGACGCCCTGAAGAGGAGGTGGAGGTGGCAGCAGACTCAGCAGAACAAGGAGGTCGGTGCTCAGCGCCATCTTCAGGGCGAATGTACCAAGTGCACGTTTGAGAACCGCCAGTGGTCTTCAAGTTACCTTCTGGTCCTTATCTAACTGTTTGGAAGAATCAGATCTAAAGCCTACTGTTTGGGAATTTCGGAATTGGTGTCAAAGCCTGTTGTTAATGTATACTAAAATTTCAGTGAGGGTTCCATTAAATATTTAGTAAATATAACACAAAAAAAACCAAAACCAAAAATACAATGCTCCAGAATATGTCATAAACTTAATTATGGCTCCTACAAATGAGCTTATGTATGCATTTAGATATTATCACAAAGCCAGTATTAATGTAGGCAAAGTGAAGTTCACATCCATTGCATAAACATCATCCAGGTACCATTCTCATCTCATCCATACTGAGGATTCGGACACACTGCTCACTCTGCATACTGTATTTCGCCTACTACACAGCAAACAAGTATGTGATTTTGGATGCACCCTCTGTGTGCACACTGTCGAGCGTGTGTCTCTGTGTGCACACTGTGGAGCGTGTGTCTGTGTGTGCAGTCGGGGCTGGTGTACACGGAGGAGGAGTGGGAGAGGGAGTGGAGCGAGCTGCTGAAGTTGGCGTCCAGTGAGCCGCGAACACACGTCAACAAAAGTGACGGCACGGCTGGAGGGTGAGTGCAGGCGGGTGGGCGAGGGAACAAGGGAGCCAGTGAGGGCGGGAGGGAGGAGTGGGCAATGGAGGGAGGAGTGGGCAATGGAGGGAGGAGTGGGCAATGGAGGGAGGAGGGCACATGGCCCTCAGGATGTGGAAAAGTTAATAGCAAACAGCGGGGAGGTGTAAGCAGGGCATTACAGGAGGCTGCTAAAGGCAGCTAGCAGGACATGTGGACCCAGAGTATGTGGAGCAGGACACTGATTTGTGGTTCCTCTATGCCTGTCTGCCTGAGACACGATGAACCAGGGCGCTGACCCCAGCATGGAGGCGGCACAGAACGGTCTCGATGAAGGGGTTTTATCAAACCTCACAGAGGATGAGCACTTTGAGAGGAGACACGGAGCTTCCTACTAATCTGTCATGAATAGCCGGCGTCCCTTTTTACGTTTGATTATGCTTTTCAAATAAGAAGGACGTGTGCGATGCAGGATGTTGAAATCAGGAAGTTACTGAGCAAAATGACTCGTGTATAAATGTAATTTCCTCTGCGATGTGCAAGATAGCCATCTGCTGGCAGGATTGGCCATCGACAGTCTTTAGGAAGAATAGTGATTCACTGGAAGACTCACTGAATGATGAGTGCATGATGTACAGACTGTGGTCACCACTTTGCAGGACTGGACATTGTGCCCCGTGTTCTGTCAGAAGTGCAATGATGACAAGCTCCTGTGAAACACTCAGCGTTAAGATCGGGGGCTACAGATTAGTCATATTTTATGAGTGTATTCATTATTAGATATAGTGCAATCATTGCTAAATTTATTACGATGAAAACATTTATTAAACTGTATATTGTTTGTATTAACTAGTTTTACAACTTAGGTTCATAATCGTAAAATTAAGAAATTTATGCATAAGTTTAAAATAAATATGTAAAGACTGGGCAGGATGGCTGGATTGAGGGTGATGGCAGTGGAACTTGCTGGGTAGTGATCAGCCTTTTTAATGGCAGCTGTAAGCGATTGTGAAGACCGGGCGTGTCCTCTGGAAACAGAAGTCTCCTCCCTGGCATGTTGATCATCTGCATGTTAAAAAGTGCTGAATCTGCGTTAATATAGCCTCGCTGCTGTTCTGACCTGAGGACCTGTTTGTTCTGTGGTCCCAGGAGGGGGGGAGGCTGGCTGGCCTGCCGGATCCCACACACAGGGCCTCTGTGTGCCCCAGTGAGTGCAGGGGAGTTACGGGGCGCAGCTGTGGCCTCCAGGGCCTTCATACGGGGGCTGGTTAGAGTTATGAAGCACAGAGAGGGTCTGTGGGAACAGTAGTGTTTACTAGTCGGATATCGCAGGACATGCCAGTAGAGGGCGCACTGAGCCATGTAGAAATGTTGGAGTGAGTTACATGTTGCCCTGTGTCCAGCGTTGGGGAAGTTGCTTACAAATGTACTCTATTACGGACAGAGGTGGAAAGTTCAGGTCCAGAAAGTACAAATCCAGACCAAGGTTTTGTTTCAACCAACCAGGTAAGTACTGTGTAACTATGACTTTACTGGGTGGTTAAAACAAAACCTTGGTCTGGATTCATACTTCCTAGACCTGAACTTTCCACCTCTGTCCGTAATGGATTACATTTGTGAGTAACTTCCCCAACGCTGCTTATGCCTGCAGGGTGGATAACTCAGAAGAGCCCGTGTACGAGAGCCTGGAAGAGTTTCACGTCTTCGTGCTGGCGCACGTGCTGCGACGGCCCATCGTGGTGGTGGCCGACACCATGCTAAGAGACTCTGGAGGAGAAGGTGAGTCCAGTGGGCTGAGGGTCACCAGTATGACTCCCTGCTGGGGACGCGACCCCGTGTCCTTCACCAGATTCATAGTCTACATTACATTATATTGACTTACCAAGCGCTTCTGTCCGAAGCAACAGCAAAGGGATCCCATAGTGCATCACAAGCATGAGAGCCAGCTAGAGTAAGTGCTGCTAGGCTGAGCTTCCAGTGAGAGACCAGAGACTTCAGCATCATGGGAAGAGCTATGCACACAGATCTGGCTTTGAGGGCTAGTACAGCTGGTCCCAGAACAGATGGGTCTTGAGGTGTTTGTTGAAAGTAGAGAGGGATTCGGATAACCGGATGTGGATCCATTAGCGTGTTCCGCCATTGTGGAACCACACACTAGCAACGTCTCAAGTGAGACTCCTCACGTGGTGGAAGGAGATGCAAGCAGCGCTGCTTTGCTGACTGGGGAGGGCGAGACAGGATGTGGGTTTCGATGATGCTGATAGGTTCTGTTCCATTGGCGGCTCTGAAATCCAGGACCAGGGACTTGAACTTCATGCGCGCCGTCCCAAGGTCCCTGGCAGGCCATGCAGCATACGTACAGCACGCAAAAACATTACACAAAAATTGTTTTTCAGTATTTATAGTTTTATTGGATATGTTAAATTACAAAGGGGCATTCTCGCACTATTTGCATCATTTCTCGCACATATTCCATAGGGAAATTCGTCTGTCGTTAGTCTGCTTGGTTCACGCCTAAATTCATCACTGCCTTTTCCAGAAACAGATGTTATCAGTGTTTTCTCAAAGGAATTTGGTCATGTGACCGGCCGACAGTGGCACATGGCCCCGGGTGACAGCTGGAGGGACTGCACACTCAGCATTAGAGAGTGACCTTGAGTCTCTGTGATCCCCCTCTCTGTGCCGTGGAACATTCCTGCACAACACAACATGTAGGCAACTGTCATCTAATGCGGCGTCTGTCTGTGACCCCCCTAGTGTCGCCCTGGGTCACCCAACTATGGGTCATTCTATAGTAATGTGCTGTTTGCCTCACTTCTACATGAATAAATGAATAAATAATAAAGTAGTATATTTTACGCTAGACAGTATAGTATACGCTAGATGCTAAGTTTGTATTTCACATGACCAGACATTCATCTCTCGAGTGGATGGGATATTCATAATGACGCCTTAATTTCTGTCCCGTGTTTCTGTATTTTGACTTATTTAGTTTATCGTACTGCTGCCAAATCCTCACTTACTAGCCAGAATGTGCTAGAGGGTAGAATGTACAAGCAGCAGTCTGCGATTAATTAGATATTTTAATCAATTTTCACGTGGAAATTATGAATGAGTAAGTAAGAATAGTACTTGTAGTAACTGTAGCCATTTTGATGCATTTTTAAGTTATGTTATGTTAAAAAAAAAAACTCAACTTATTGTTTAACCGCACGATTTGTGCAATACCCATATCAAATAAAAATAAGTTTTCGATGACATCTTTTACTTTATTTTGCTTTGCTTTAATCACTACATGCCGTCACTGCTATTCGTTTGTTATATCTGTGTCACTTTGTTGGGGCCAGTTTTCTTACTCAGTGTTTCTGACCCTGTTACTTGTAGTAACAGTGACTAATTCACCGCTTACAGATACCAGTTAATTGTGCAGCTATGTTGAATGCAGGCCACATAGCCCCAGCGGCCTGCTTTGCTCTGCGTGCTGACTCCCCCCCCGCCCCCGCCTGTCATTGCAGCGTTTGCTCCCATCCCCTTCGGGGGGCTCTACCTCCCCCTGGAGGTCCCTCCAAACCGGTGCCACTGCTCCCCGCTGGTGCTGGCATACGACCAGGCCCACTTCTCCGCCCTGGTGTCCATGGAGCAGAAGGAGCAACAGCGAGAGCAAGGTACAGCCACCACATCCCCAGGGGCCACATCCCCAGGGGCCACATCCCCAGGGGCCAGGCAGGGTGACGGGGCTGAGTCTCCACTCTGTATCTATGAGTAGTACAAGGTGCCAGCTGGTGTGAGAGGCAGCTAATGCTGGGAAAATCTGCTGTCAGTACCTCCAGGAAAAGGGGTTCGAATCCCACCTCCTGTGTTTCCTCCCACAGTGCAAATACATGCAACTATGCTGCCTAGCATCTCTAGTCGGCACATTCAGTATTATATGAGCGCGTGTGTGTGTGTGTGTGTGTGTGTGTGCGTGTGTGTGTGTGTGTGTGCGTGTGTGTGTGCCCTGTCATGGACTGGCATCCCTTCCAGGCCTCAGATCCCCATTGAGACTAACCAGGATAAAATCCCAGTTCTCCACAGATGAGTGTAAGAGGCAGATTCTGACTTTTTAAGAGTGCTGCATGTTAGATGGCCGGTGTTTCAGCATGCCCTCCTGACTAAGGAGGGCACTGTCCAGGCTTGTACATGCAACCCACGCCAATTAGAGCAGAGCGGGCCCACATCTGAGTGGCCTTTTGGACCTGGACTGGCCCCTCCCCCTGAAGTGTTTTGCTCAGTTATCTCCCACAGAGGCCCCGCCCCTTTGATGCCCACCATGATTCTCGCAGATGCCCCACCTCCTCGTTGCCCTCATGACACTCACAGAGGCCCCAACCCCTTTGTGCCCCCTGTCACTCCCAGAAAGGCTCTGCCCCCACTATTCCCCCCCATGGCTCCCAGAAAGGCCCCGCCCCCTCTGTGCCCCCCCATGGCTCTCAGAAAGGCCCCGCCCCCTCTGTGCCCCCCCATGGCTCTCAGAAAGGCCCCGCCCCCTCTGTGCCCCCCCATGGCTCTCAGAAAGGCCCCACCCCCTCTGTGCCCGCATGCCTCATTCTGCCCTTGCTGCCATAAGCCCTCGCTAACCCCAAAATGGCGGTGCGTGTGAAGGCGTGCCAGCTGTCCCGCCCCCTAAATGCCCGCTTGTGATTCTGCGGTTACAGAAGTATGACAGAAGTCTGTCCATGTAAACTTCTACCGTTATTTTTAGATTCGGTTCCCAGAGAGCTGCAGGTTTTCTTTGGCATGAGCTGTGCTTTAATCCGCACATAAATATGGAAAAGGTCTCCATATTTATCCCGTGAACAGCCCTGAACACTGAGCCAGACAGCGGGCTGCCTGCCTGCTGCCCTCGGCAGTGTGTGGCACAGTCTGCAGTACACAGAGTTTTTGTTTACAGAAATCTTTCATGTGGCCGTGCAAATGTGGTATCCACATGCCTGGGATGCCGAGACAGAGCAGGTACTGAGGGTGACATTGTCATCCGTGGTTTTTGCTTTGAAGGGCAGACATCCAAACGCTGTCAGACTGCAGGGCTTACATATTTTTGACAGTGTGTAATTTCACATGTAAAGTGTTTTTATAAATAAATAAATAAATAAATGAAAAATGTGTATCATGATACATTGAACTAAAGGAACCTGCTGTAAATCCAGCCTCACAGACATGAAATGCAATGCAGAGGCTGACTTGATTGTGCTGCCGGTACTTATTAAAATATCCACCAGAGGGCGCCCCAGTATGACCTTTCAGGAAGCACAGGCCAAGATACTGCCTGGTGGCTAAAGTAGGATTAAGCAGTGTTAAATCAAACAACTAATTCAGTCTGGCTTATAGTCTGGCTTTATTTCCAGTAAAAAAAAATCATTACATGCATCCATCTGTAAATTTATGTTCATTATACTGACTTCTATTTTTCTTTCCAGTCTAAGCCAGGCTATAAATGTATGGTTTGCAGGTTTCTTATATTTCAATGTAACTTACAATTTTCAGCTGCTAGTCTCAAATCATGACATGCTGCTGGTTCTAAACTTTTCAAAATAACGTCTGAATCTCGTGCCAGGTATCAGGCAAATGTTGAGAACTGCTGTTAATTGACCCTTGCTCGAAGGAGATATTTGTGGGTTTTGGTTCCTTTATAATATTAGTGTAGTTCTTTTTTCACCAGAGACTAGAGGAGACCGTTATGTACTGTACTCCCCTGAGCAGTTGCTGCTTGGGAGTTTTCACACCCCTGGGTAGGGCAGCCATTTTCTCAGACTTCTCTGCCCTGTACATGGCAGACACTTCATCCTGTGTGTTCTTTGATGGCCATAATCGATCTATGCATCTGTGCGCTCCTCGTTTACCCTCGACTGTGAAAGGAGGTGCCGATTACTCGAAGCAGCAGGTCTCAGCAAGACGGCACAGGCCCCGGTGTCTGTTTACACTCTTTATTCCCTCCCTCGCTGGGCCAGCTCTGCCCTATCATTTCCTCCACATCGCCACCCTTGGCGGTTTCCAAAAAGCCGTCCAAATAGCAGCTGGCACGCTGCTCACATTTCTGGGAGGGCTGTGATGTCATCTGTGCAAACAGAGTTCGAGAAGGTCGTCTCGGGACAGGGCTCCACCGCTGCCAACTGCGGTAGTAAATACAGTGCCTGAGCTCCTCCGAGCCGTACCGGGAACGACTAGCGGGACAAAGCAGGAACGGCCTGTACGGCAGCTTTGGGCTGGAGGCTTGGCGAGCAGCTGTGACAGGAGCCTGGGGGTGACCCGAATCTCCCCCCCACGCGACCCGCACGCCACTGGCACCTCGAACGCACATCTCCGTACAGCGTCAGCAGCCTCCCGCGTCTCCGTCTTTGTTTACACTGGCTCTCCTGGGCAGCTTTTGGGTTCTTCTTTTACTGAAGGTGCCAGCTTGCATATGTTTTTCTTAGGTTAGCGAGTTTGGCGTAGGGCTAGTGCAGAGTCAATGGAGTGTTAGCAGGGGTTAGCATGAGGTTGGCGCGTTGCTAACGTGGGTTCCATGGCGTTAGCACAGGGCTAGCATGGGGTCAATGCGGTGTTAACACGGGGTTAGCATGGGGCTAGAATGGTGGTTAGCACGGGGCAGGCATAGCTCAAACAGGCATGTACAAACTCACCCGTTTCTCATGTGTGCAAACCAGCACTAAACTGAAAGACACTAAACTGAAATGCATCTGTTTCAGCTTGGCTGATGTGCTAAAATGCATTACCCCCCAGTCTGCTGCAGGAGAGTCACGAATTGCCCCCCACAGGGAGGGCACAGCGCCACACCCCCAGCCAGCTTTCAAATTTAAATCTAAACTTCAACACAAATAAGAACAAATGGCACAGACTGTGCCGGCCTTGTATTTCACACACTGTCTGACACTCATTAAAAAGTTGCCTTTGATTGAAATGTCAGTCTGTTTCAGAAATGCCGCCGCTCTCCAGGCTCTGGCGGGTCCAGGCCTCGAATGCCATTGGGATGCAGATTATTAGCCGCTTTGCATGAGGAGTCAGGATTTATGCTAATTGGATGTCAGTAATGCGATACAGTGGCGCAGGCAGGGAGGTGTCTCCCCCACTGTCACATGTCCCTGCATTATCAGCACACAGACATGCAGCAGCAGCAGCGCAGCTTCTGAGTGATCCGGGGGGGACCACGCTTCTATGTTCGGGGCCATGTAAACTAAGCAGAGCCCCTAGCACCGTAGTGCAGGGCACCAAGGCTGTACTGCGCCGCAAAGCTGCGAATGGATCTTGTTACGGGAGCATCCACAGCAGTGCTGCCTAGGGATGGCGTGCAGCTCATCCTCTGTGCAGAGGTGGCTTCAACATCTCGGTGTGTCAGAATGTATGCAAGGTAGCTTGGTGCAGAGCACAGGAACGTGGAGGGTGGTTTGGCACCGTCCCCTAACCCAGAGCAAACTGGATGGGGGAGGAGTCTGAGCTGAGACAGACCCCAACCCTGGCAGTCCTGACCTGCCTGTCTGTCTCTATCTCTGTGTGTCTGTCTGTTTTTCTGTCTGTCTCTTGGTCTGTCTGCTTGTCTCTGTTTCTATCTGTCTTCCTTTCTGTCGGTCTGCCTCTCTGTCTGCCTCTGTCTGTCTGTCCTTCTGTACCTGACCCTTCCCTCCCTTGCAGCTGTTATTCCCCTGACTGACTCAGAGCACAAGCTGCTGGCTCTCCACTTCGCTGTGGACCCTGGGCAGGACTGGGTGTGGGGGAAGGACGATGGAGACAGCAGCAAGCTTGCCAAGTAAGCGGTGTCACTCTCTGCCTCTGGATCGGGGGGGACAGGACGTCCCTGGGGGGGTGGGGGGCCTCAGCCAGACACTGGTGGAGTTAGCCATGGTCAGGCTGGAGGCCCACAGCAACTGTGCCAGTTGGAGGATGAGTGGTTAGCCGCAGTCAGGAGTTCTCCCCACGAGTGTTAATCTGGAGCACTGAGATGGATTTAAAGGGCCAGCATGCGGGGAAGATCAGGAGGGGGGACAGGTGTACCTTAGGGCCACATCCACATAGCTGTGCTACAGTGTGCAAAATCTGTGGACAAACTAAAGGAGTAAGGATTCTGTGTGGCTCCAGATTCAGTGTCACCTATGATGTTAAGGTACACAAACACTAACACTCCTTACAGGTTCTGATTCGGCGTGATTTTAATTGAACTCTTTTAATTTTTTCCAGTCTCATCCTGTCTTTGGAAGCCAAACTCAACCTTCTGCACAGCTACATGAATGTAACGTGGATCCGAATTCCATCAGAAACAAGGGTAACGTTCCTCCATGCGTCGGCATCTCTAGCGTGACCACAGGAGGGCACTCTCTAAGTCCCTGTCTGCTCCGATCTGCAGGCTCCCCTGGCCCAGCCGGAGTCTCCCACAGCCTCGGCCGGAGAGGACGTGCAGTCACTGGCAGAGTCCGCCGACTCGGACCGCGACTCCATCTGCAGCAACTCCAACGTCAACAATAGCAAATCCAGCAAGGAGAAGGAGAAGGACAAGCAGCGCAAGGACAAGGAGAGGGAGAAGGAGAAGACACGGGTCGACTCGGTGGCCAACAGGCTGGGAAGCCTGAGCAGGACGCTGGGGATTAAACTCAAGAAAAACATGGGGGGGCTGGGGGGACTGGTCCACAGCAAGATCAGCAGGTCGAGCTCCACCAACGGGCGTAACACCGAAAACGGCGAGAAGCTCCGCAAGAAGGACCTCAAATCACAAAAAGGCAGCAAGGAGGAGTCGGGCCATTCAACCACCACATCCTCCTCAGAGAAGACCACCAGCCCCTCCCCCATTGAGGGGCCACTGGGCTCCTCCCCCCCAGAGAAGCTCGGTATGCTGGGCAGGCCTCTGGGCGACAAGGCAGCGGACCCATGGAAGTACAGTGCCGACGTCAAGCTGAGCCTGAGCATCCTGCGGGCGGCCATGCTGGGTGAGCGCAAATTCATCCTGGCCGGATTGCTGCTCACTAGCCGCCGGCACCAGTTCCACCAGGAGATGATCAACTTCTACCTGGCCAACGCCCAGGAGCGCTTCAGTGCTGAGCAGGAGCAGAAGAGGAAGGACGCAGAGAGGAAAGTGCTGCCCAACGGCATGGTGGCAAGGAAGCCTGAGCAGGAGAGCTTGCTCCAGAAGGACAAGCCTCACGGCTCACCAGACGCAGCCGGCTCCCCCCTCCTACACCAAAGCCATAACTCACAGCCAGTCGTAAAGACGCAGGAGAGGAACAGCCCCACGCTGGCCCCTCCTTGTAACGGTGCTAAAAAACCTGGGCCCATCCCCGTGTCCGTCCACTACAGCCACACACCCCCAATCCAGAGGCATAGTGTCATCCATCTACAGCCAAGCTCTCTCCCCATTGAACCCCGCAAGCCAGCCGCCCTCCTCATTGAACCTCGCAAGCTGGCCACCCTCCCTAGTGAGCCCCGCAAGCCGGCCGCCCTCCCCAGCGAGACTCGCAAGCCGGCACTGGGCAGCTTGAAGACATGCGCCACCTACCCCCAGCAGAACCGCACGCTGTCCTCTCAGAGCCACAGCCCGAACCGGGCGCCCGGGAACCACGTGCCGGGGGCCCGCACCGGTGACCCCTACAGCATGCCTGGGGAGCACAAGTCCCACACGTATACTAACGGCTTCGAGGCCAGCAATAGCGGCGAGCCCCTGGATGAGGGATCGCCCGCTCGGGCCTGGCCGAGCCGCGACAAGTCCAGAGGCCGCGGCACCAGCTGCGCCTTTTACTACCTGCAGCAGAAACGCTGCAAACGGGGGAACTGCTCCTTCTACGGAAGGCCAGAAACCGAGAACTACTGCTCGTACTGCTACCGGGAGGAGCTGCGGCGCAGGGAGCGCGACGGCAAGGCGCAGCGGCCCGGATAGCCCTGGTGATGCAGCCGCTGGTGCAGACGCCCTCAGCGAGGCCCTGGGGACAGCGGCAGCCCGGCATCCAGCTTCCTGCCCGTCCGGGAAACCCCTCTTTGTTCTTGCGCCCGATAACAAAGCGAACGTGGCTGAAATCGGTTTACAGCTTTGGCCAGAGATTTTTGTTGTTTTATTTATGACTCAGATTACGAATTTTATATATTTTTAAAGTAAAATCTTTTATTCGATGACGCAGGGCCATATTACAGCATCATATTGTTTGTGAAGCATATGTGCAACATCACAAAAACCTCCATTTAGAACAGTTTATTCAGATGCAATATGACACAGCTGAATGATTTTGTTCGTAAAACTAATTTAATTATGGAAGTAAGTTGCATAGAGAGCAAATATAAGTGCAACATGTTTTTTAAAAGCAATAAGTTATCTGGTGTCTTGATGTCGAGTTTGTGTGAAGATGTTTTTTTCCCTATGCATTAATGTTTTCAGCAGATAGCATATTTTGTCATACCACAGCCAAGTATGGGCGGTTTTAGTTGAATACAATTAAAATCAGTTCATGAGCACGTGTAATGTATTTTCATTTATGATGTTAAATGACCTATCTAGGCAGTCAAAGGCTTCCATTATATTTTCCAGTGTTCTTAGATATGCAAGATTGCAGTGAGGTTGCTCGTGGGAGTTTTACTTAAACAAAAATGTTCTGAGGCCAGAAGGAAAACATGATTGGTTCAGTTTACCTCTCTGAACCAGTCATTTTTCCTTCTGCCCTCAGATCATTTTTGTCTAAGTAAAAATCGCATGAGCAGTAAAGTTCGCTCTATGCAGCCGTTGGAAGACAGTGGGAATCGCCAGGGCTGAAAGCTAACACCAAAACATGGCACAACGTACTTCTGAGCTTTTCCTGCAGGCCCAGACTGCACTTGTAGCTCCTGTGGCTGTCGTATCCACACATCTGCTTCAGAAATACAGTCTTTATCATAGCGGTGGGTTCAGAGTCTCCTGGCCAAAGCTACGGAGCCGCCATTTCAGCTGCTGTCAGGGTTCCTGTCCCAAATTGTCAGCCCTCTTCCTTCGTATGTAATAGGACCACCATCAGACACAGGAAATATGATCTTGTATTCATTTGAAAGTTTTACACTACTCTAAATTACTCTATATCTAATTTGCACATTAGGTACTGATGTAAATATGAAAAAATAGCTTATACTTTAAAAAAGTAGTGTGTTGTTTCTGGACTAGAGAATGTGACAACACTGGGAATTTACAAGCCACTTTAAATTGTAATATTAGAAGAAAAAATATTTTTATATCTTCACAAAATGCCATAAAGCAATATTTAGCATATTTATTCTGGCTACATAGTGAAAGAGTGTTCTGCTATATATTTGGTCACATTTAATATTAAGTGGGTAGTGGAGCTTTTTACCTGAGCTGTAGGTACATCATAAGGGGATCAGGGTGACATTAAAGCAGTGCTGACATCATTCGCATAGCAGCATCTTTACAGGATATAAAGCACAACGTGATCAGAAGGTTGCCGGTTCAAATCCCAGTGTCGACAGAGTGATGTCACCGTTTAGCCCTTGAGAAAGGCCCTTAATCCCCAGTTGCTTCAGGGATGGTCTGACCCTGCTTTCTCAATTGTATGTCGCTTTGAATAAAAGCATCTGCCAAATAAATAAAAACGTAAAAGCAGAACTTTCTACAGAATGTGAAGTGTCACTAGATATTTGAATGCTACTGAATATCTGTGGTGCTTACAGCTCATTAACATTTGTGCAATTTATACATCAAATGAAAGGAGGTTTATGCCATTTCATTTTATGCCGTCGTGTTCTTCAAACGGCTGGTTGATCCCATGATGCCAGAGAGTCTCCTTCTAAAAGTGCAGGGTGTAAATGAGAGAGCGTCTTCAATTAATACAGTGTCACAGTACATATAATTACATTTAATTAATGGATGCACACAAATTATATGTCCTGTTACATGATATGTGGAGCAGTGAGTTTTGATTTAATATTTAATATTCAAAATGGACCTTGATGGAAGCAGTTGTTGAATTATGCAGCAGTGTGCGTCTTTGATTTAACGCAAAGATCTGGATCACTGGATCATCCATGACCTGGATCACTGGATCACCTGTCATCTTCAAAGGTTGCTAATATTTTGCATCAAACTCCAGGAAATATGTTTTAAAATACATTTTTTGTGAAGCTAAGTGTACAGTAGTGTTTAACCTTCATGTAAGGATGCCTGCTGGGATTGTGTAAGAAGCCCAGAATGTTCTGGGGATGGTCCATTCTGAGAAGGATAATGGTCATACTGTGCGATGGTGGTACGTTAGCATGCAAAATGCCAGTCACAGGTAAGTTGGCCAGGTCATAAACTGTTTAATTGTTAATATTTTGTACACATTCCCAATTTCAGGCCAGCACCGCCTTGATATAACCCATGGACAGCAGTGGTATTTACCGTCACTCCTGCTGACCACAAACAATCACACCAAATATTGAATAAGCATGTTTCATATTTAGGAGATGCTGAAGGAGATAATCTGCTAACCAGCCAGCTATTATCTTCTGACTCTACTCGCCATTTAGTTTGTAAAACATCTGAGGTAGAACAGGGAGCCCCAGAAACAAGACCGACTCCTGCTCGCAGTGAGTTCCAACACATAGCAAATGACACCCCCGCATTCACGAAGGCGTTCTCAGACGGTCCGTAGTCGCCGTGAAAAGGCGCCTGTGCGCACAGTGCCGCTGCTGCTCGGTACGACTCCCCTAAACTGCGTCCTACCAGGCTTGTGGCACTTTGCACGAGGATCACCAGCATAGGAAGCAAATTTATTACAGCAAGCGAGTGGCTGTCACATTTTCACGGACGCCCCCTCCCCCAGCTATCTGTGTATCTGTGAGCAGACAGTGAACCCCCCCTGTCAGACGGTCTGGGGGGGGGGGCTCATCTCATTCGCATTCTGCCTTGTTCCCTCGCATATGGCACCACATTGCCATCACCCGGCACTTTCCGTGCCCTCACGCTGCCAGCGAGGGGGGGGGGGGTGAAGCGATAATACTGAGGGAAGGCTACAGTTTTCAGGAAAGATTAACAGACAGGCAACAATTGTGTGAATGATGTGTTTCCACCAGAACTTTGTGATCGACGTAATCCCGAGGCTCGACGTTAATAATTGCTCCAGTCCGATCTTGATACAGCTCAGAAGCCCCCACCACCAGCAACAGGTCCTGTATGACACTGCCCCCCCACCATTGCCCGGGTGCCGTGTCCCAACAACTGATTATCAAAGACCCTAATTAAAAACTGCCTTTCATGTCGTAATGAAAGCAGCTGTCGCCGCTGCCTGTCACGTGATCAGCCCTGCTCTGCTGAAAAACATGGCCGTGCCTTTGAAAAATATCAGTGTTAAGTGATCAGATTATTGGAGGGTCCAGATTAAAATAAAACGAATTTATAATATGCTCACAATGCGTGCACTTCAGCAGACTGCATTTGGCTTTATAATGTGCTTTTCAAAAGCCTTTGCAGTACCCACCCCCACAAACACATTCAGACAGTAATAAATGTTAATATATTACAGAACCAAACATTAGTTTTGTATACATTGGTGCACACAATATTTGGTAAGCTAATGAGTAAATTTTTGCAAGCTACACTTTTCCAAACAGGTTTCCTAAGATCTACGTTTATATAATATACTAGCAGAAAATCAAGAGTCCCGGTTATGCAACACTTGTTATCTGGGTAGGCTTCCAGCGGCGCCGGTGTGTTGGGGCCGCGGATGGTAACGACCCCCGGAGTGGAGCCGCGGTCTCCACGGAGCGAGGCGGTGCTGAGAGCGGCCCGCTGGCCCCTGCCAGCCCGAGCACTCACAGCACATCCTGTTCCCCGGCACACAGGCCTGCGAAGCCACCCGCTGCAGAGTGGGCGGTGTTGGACGGCTCTCCGGCGCCTGCCCTCGCACGCATCGCGGGAGGAATCGCACGCTGTTCAGCGCCGAAATGCCGCTGCATTGTCAGACACCCCGACTCGCGGCCCCTCAGTCTCACGCCGGCTCGCAGGGCAGCCGGATCCCGGCGCGGCGCCGCTGGGGGCAGGTTGGGGGCGGGCCGGGGGCTCCGGGACCTTCCGTGCATCACAAAAAGAGCGGCACGACTACAGAAACCCCCGCCCCCAGCCTGAGTCGTGCCGGGGGAGGCTTTGCGATCGGTACACGTTGTCAGTTCTGGTGTCAGACACGCTGATTCCCACATGTAAATGTTGTTGCAGTTCCCCCCTCCTGCTTAAAGCACCCACATATGCTGCATGTATATATACCGTCTGTGTGTGTATATATATATATTTATACACACACACATCATCATGCCTATTCCTAGCCGATTTGCAGTATTATGGGCGTCTGCCCACTCGATGCTCCCATTAAGTGCTACTTCCTTTCGTTTTTGTCATCAGTGTAGCTCTCCAAATAAATTACTTTTCTCCTTATGCTATGTCCTTATGCTGCTAATTGACAGGTTATGGTTTTGGCTCTGTTTCCGTTGTATGCAAACGGTCTGAGGTGATGCCCGTTCACTGAGAACAAAGGAGATTCAGCCTCACCTGGAAATTAAAAAGCGGTTTCCACCATACTATTAAAAGCATGCATACGGATCCAAAAGTACAATAGCTCTTCTGACATTTTACCCTAACGATCTCTAAATGGGCGTGATTGAAGTGTGTTTCTTTTGCACAAAGATAAAAAATAAAATCCCGCTTCTTGTGCAGGCTTGTTGGACGGCACGTTAATCGACGTTAAAGTACGCAGAGACGCCCTCCTCTGAATTCTCTAGGAGACTGAAAAACAAACAAACAAAAAAAAGTAAGTCGGGCGGCGTTATGCGTGCGTCAACCGCGGCGGCGGTACTGGAAATGCGTGCTCCAGCTCGCTGTCTGACATTGGTGTCAGCGTGTGGGAAGCTGGGATTGGCACAGAGAGAGGCAGCAGGCAGATAACTAGCCTGAGTGCGGAGTACCCAGCGTGTTCCAGCTATTTTTAGTGGCCCTTCCTATTACACTTTGGATTTAGTGATTCACATTTGGGATCTGAATGCCGGGAGATGAACGGGGACGCGCTTCCGGGGAGGGGGAGGGAGCAGCCTGTGAAAGGAACTGAGCCTCTTTCCAAACTCACCACAATGGGAAACCTGTAATGAGCTAATCACACCAAGTCGGTCACGGCGGTGTATTTGTGGCAGGGGGACGGGGGAGGTCACATAACGTTGAAACACATGCAAACGGGGGTGGGTGGCAGAGATAAAGCAGCCATGCAATCCCCCCCCCCCATATCCACATGAAACACATAAAGATTCCAGACGTAATGCCGTGGCAACCAAACCTTCTTCATTGCTGTCCGAGCTTCACACAAAGGAACAATGGGCACTTCCTGATTCGAGTGCAGACAACAGGAAGTGAAATTCGCATTGTCCCTGCATGGCAGATATATGAGACTGGTGTCGTCCTGGGTCAGGGGACATCAGCCGGCTGCCCCTGCCCCCCCCCCAGCCAGGCA